CACCATTAAGCAGCAACTACTAAATTGTTGCTAGTAACAATTTTGATTAAACAATTAAATTGTCTGTTGTCTGCCGTTAAGTCCCCACCAATGCCAAAATCAAACCTACGCCCTTGCTGTCAGGGATTGTGCTATTGGCATAATATGGCCAAAAGTGTCCCAAGAAAACATTGCCCACAGCATAACCGGCCTGTGTCCGCCCAATAGTGCATGCAGGTGCCATAGCCTCTGTTGGTAATCAGCATATTCGAGCTCGGCTGTCGACGTGATACACCAGGAATCATGATTTGTCAGACCAGGCCACTTTCTTCCGATCATCCACTGTCCAATCTTGATGATCTTGGGCCCATTTCACGTGGTGTTAGCGATGATGTGCAGTTAGCATGGGGACTCACAGATTATTGATTTCTTTACAAAATGTCCAAACTTTTTCTGATTTGTGGTTGTATTTAATGAGTGTTGGCAGGTATGAACCTTGTTTGGCTTTGAATGTCTAGTCTTAAATAAAATACAAAAAATTAAAAGAAAATGCAAATAAACAAATACAAGTTTTGGGGTCTTTTCTCAAAACTCAGTTTATTTTGACTTTCTTAATCTCAATACATTGTTTTGGTTTATAGATTTACTATAGACTATACGTCATATTCTTCAATAGTTAGAAAAATGCATGCAATCTACAAGAGGTTTAGTGATTCACATTTGGTTATATTGAGTCAGGTGACATAAAATGTTACATACAGTGTACATGGTTAAGCTGCATAAACAATGCCCCATTCGGACAGGTTGAGTTTTGTGTCAGTCAGCTACAGATGTCATGATTCTGGGATGTATAGGCAGAAGACACAGTACATTTGTTCATCTTAACGGATATACAGCATTTATATTATACCGTACATCAGGTCAGGTGTATTTGATGTTACATGACAGAACAGCAGCAGGTGGCGGGATAGTCATCAGCGTTCACTTTAAACTCATTTCCATACACATAGTAAACATTAGGCTTTCCTTTCCACATGTAGTTCACTTTGGTTATGGCAATGAGCTCGATTGTCTGCCTCTGAAACAGATTAAATTACAGAATGACAGATTCAAGATTCATCATGATGATTGTCTCTAGTTACAGGCAGACTGGTAATGATATAGCACAGTTTGTTATTTGCATTGTTTTGTTGCATACAAACATACAATCTAGATAAAAAAAGTTAATCAAGACGAACTTTAGGTTGGCTTGAGAAAGCCTGAAAGTTTAAAGCAGTTGTAAAAGCCTGAAGTTTGAAAATGTAGATAGATTAGATAGATGTTGATAACATGTTTCTAGCAAGATTAGCATGTTTTTAACATGATTGGCCTGTTACTACCATATTACTAGCATGATTAGCATGTTGCTAGCACGATTAACAAGTAACTAGCATGTTTGCTAGCATGATTAGCAAGTAACTAGCATGTTGCTAGCATGACTAACAAGTGACTAGCATGTCGCTAGCATGATTAGCAAATTACTAGCATGTTTCTTTTCATGTGACAACACTGAAGAAATGACACTTTGCTACAATGTAAAGTAGTGAGTGTACAGCTTGTATAACAGTGTAAATTTGCTGTCCCCTCAAAATAACTCAACACACAGCCATTATGTCTAAACCGCTGGCCACAAAAGTGAGTACACCCCGAAGTTAAAATGTCCAAATTGGGCCAAAAGTGTCAATATTTTGTGCGCCCACCATTATTTTCCAGCACTGCCTTATCCCTGTTGGGCATGGAGTTCACCAGAGCTTCACAAGTTGCCACTGGAGTCCTCTTCCACTCCTCCATGACGACATCACGGAGCTGGTGGATGTTAGAGACCTTGAGATGCTCAATAGGGTTTAGGTCTGGAGACATGCTTGGCCAATCCATCACCTTTACCCT